CTCTCTGTTTTGGCCTCTCCTGTAGATCTACAGTCAGGAGTGTAATGCCGGTGGAGCCAAAACCCTTTCCATCATGCTTCTGTCCAGTGAGCGATGAAATACCCAATGTCATCTGCGGTAACGGTACCAATTGCGCAACGTGTTGACCTTTTGATATCTTTATTGGGGGATAAGGGGTGTAAGCCATGATTTGTATTTCTCCTGTATAGTCCACATCTATGACCCCAGGCAATATAAATAGTCCCAGCATGGATGTCGAGGTGCATCCTAGTAATAATGTTCCACATTTTTGTCCTTGTAGCGTGAGAGGACTATTTACTCCAGTTGGTATCCTTTCAGGCCGGTTCGTCATTAATGTGACATCTACTGCTGCTGATATGTCCAAGCCGAGGCTCCCTGCTGTTGCTGACTGCGGACAGGAGGTGGCGCTGATGTCACGGTGGCAACTTGTGTCTGGGCGCGGCCACTGATCGTGCTCCTCCGTTCGTTTCCCGATCGGTGCCGACAAGCCGTGGTGTTGTGGGAGCTAGATTGGCAGCTTTGGCACCATACGCCAGTCGCTCTGCATTCTCGGCGCATGTGTCCCCCATTGCCGCATCGGTAGCACTTGAGATGTGATCTCGAGCCTCCCTGCGTGACTGCCATTGAGCTGTTTTGGAGAGGAGCAAGAGCAGCTAACACCTGATTTTGAGTGGACTCTGCTTGCTTTTGCAGCCCTAATCCTAATTCCTTTAAGGCATCTACTAAAAATGCCTGTGAGGCTGTTGGCTGTAATGCCATTCGCTCTAGCGCTTCCTCAATGGTCCAATTTGCTCCCGGAGTGGCTAGCACCCTTTGTGTTGCCAGATTGCTATTTTGTAAGGTGCACTGCTTTAATAGTGCCCCCTTCATATATTCTGCGACTCCCGCCTGGTCTATGGCTGCAGCTGCTTTGTCAATAAAACTCCCAAATAAAACTCCTCTCTACCTTGTTTTATGCCCATGTATGCCGGCAGCCCTCCTGGCTCTTTAACCCTGTCTATGGCAGCACGTACCAACCGCATGGCTTCTCTAAGCTTATCTGCTCCTGATATCAACTGGGCCTCCGTGCACAAATATGCCCCTAAACCCATGAGCTCATCTATCGTCACTCCATGCAGCGGGTCCCCCTGAGCTCGCTGGGTCGCAAGTGACTCATTAACCAAGGCTTGCCAATGCGCATTAAACAACAACTGCTGATGCTGAGTAAATATTACCCGTACTATTCCCCTCAAATCATTTGGGCACAAAATCTGCGTATTAAAGACATAATCCAGCATCTGCCTAACAGGTTCGCTTTTTACACCAAACTGACCAACTGTGGACCGCAACTGAGATAACAACTTCCAGTCTAAAGGGGTATACTTCACCAGATCCTGTGTGTGATTCCCCTGAGCATCATACTGTGGCGTGTATGTAACCAGACAGGCAAGAGCAGAAGCAGCCTCCATAGCCTCACCATCTCCCGTTTGCATTGCCTCTGTTGCCAGAGTAGCCCAAGCCTCCCTCCTCTGTTTAGCCATCTCCTCCCACAGGTCACTGAGTGCCCCTGGGATAGGATCTGACTCTCCGAGAGTTCTGCGCTGTTGGGGCTTCTGCACAGGCCATTTGGGTGGGGGAGGCGGCAGGCTCGGCTCGCCCTCTCTGCGGGGAGGCGGCGGGCTTGGCTCGCTCTCTCTGCGGGGGGGCGGCGGGCTTAGCTCACTCTCTCTGCCATCCTCCAACTCGTCCTCCTCCTCCCACAGAGGAGGTGCAGACGCCGCGCCTGTAACAAGATCCTGCATACCACACTGTTGTGAACCCTTTGGTATTAACACCTTGTTTACCGAAGGCACAAGACGATCGTCCTCACGACCATACCCTATATGCCTCTTATGAGCTTCTGTCGCCCTTTCTGCTGCCTTGCGCTCAGAGACATGCTGAAGCAGTGTATTGTGCACCACCCGCCATGGCTTGCCCATCTTCTTTGCTATCTTATCATCTTCTAACACTGCTTCCCACAGTATATCCCCAAATTTTTTCCATTCCGCGAGCTCATGGACCGTATGTGGGTTAAGGAAAACCCCCTTAGCATAGCCATAGGCTAACAACCCTGGTAGCTCCTTTTTTAGATCTATCCCCTTTACTCCTTGCCTTTCTAAATACGCGGCGAAAAGATCATATGCTGCTTGCCTATCCATACCTATTCGTATACGTCAGCGCTCTTGCAGCTTTCCCGGCTCCGGGAGACACATATGGCTCAAGTCACCGATGTGAACCTCGAGGGTACTTCAAAATTCTGGCACCGTCCCGACTGTGATCAGGACCCAAATCCAACTTCCCTCGACCGTGGCGTGTCCCCACCCCCGTTTTCTTTTCAGCAAGACGCGGGGGCAAACATCGGGGTCACCATTTGTCGAAAGAAGGAGACCAGGACACCAGATGGTCATCAACAGGTCTAATTTATTGATTGATTCGGCAACCTAAATACAGCACATAATGAGCCACATACATATTGCAAAAGCTGAGCTCAGGACTGGCTATTCAGATACATGTCAACCCCATCTAATTTAGCCTTTATCTACATTCCTGTGGTTAGCAAGAATAGCAACTTCTGCATTCCACACCCTGTCCTTATATAACTTCAGCATCTTCTTTGTGAACAAGGACACCCTGCCTGCAAAAGGGCCTCTGCCCTAGTTAGGACATCTTTACCAAATTGATTCGGCTGTGTCCCCTCTCCTAAAGCCACTCTTTGACAAAACTCTCCAACACAATCCCTAGCCTTAGGCTGATTTACATGCCTCCAGTTAGGCCTAGGGTTAGGGTTTTTTAAACGAGAAGGCCCTGAGCTCCAGGAACGTTTCAGTTGTGAAAGGTATCCCAAGGGGAGCGCAGAAGTGCCTCAACATGTCTGCTTTCATAGCTTTTTCCGTGGGACCATCCCTAACCATAGGCTGATTTACCTGCCTAGGGTTAGGGTTGTGGTTACATCTAGGGTTAGGGTTTTTTAAATCAGGAAGCCCTGAGCTCGAGGTACACTGCAGCTGCCAAAGGCATCCCAAGGGGAGTGCAGAAGTGCCACAACATTGCTGCCTTCACCACTTTTTCCTTGGGACCATCCCTAATATTAGGCTGCTTTTCCTGTCTAGGTTTAGAGTTAGGCATAGGGCTAGGGTTTTTTAAACCTGGAAGCCCTGCAGCTTGGGACCATCCGGAACCCTATGCTGATTTACCTTCGTCCAGTTAGGGCCAGGGCTGGGGCATTTTAAACCAGGAAGCCCTGAGCTCCAGGCACACTGCTGGTGCAAAAGGCATCCCAAGGGGAGAGCAAAAGTGCCACAACATGGCTGACTCCACTGCTTTTTCCTTGGCACCATGCCTAACGCTAGGCTTATTTTCTTGCCTCCAGTTAGGGTAAAGCCTTGGGCTAGGGTTTTTTAAACCAGGAAGCTCTGAGCTCCAGGCACACTGCAGCTGCAAAAGGCATCCCAAGGGGAGCGCAGAAGTGCCACAGCATGACTGTCTCCACCGCTTTTTCTTTGTCACGATCCAGAATCGTATGCTGACTTACTTGCAAAAGGCTAGGGTTAGGGTTTCGCTTAGGGTTTGCGTTTTATAAACCAGGAAGCCCTGAGCTCCAGGAACACTGCAGCTGCAATAGGCCTCCCAATGGGAGCGCAAAAATTCCACAACGTGGTGGCCTCCACCAATTTTTCCTTGGGACCATCCATAACCATAGGCTGATTTACCTGTCAATGTTTAGGGTTGCGGGTAGTAAAAAGGTTTTTTAAACCAGGAAGCCCTGAGCTCCAGGCACACTGCAGCTGAGAAAAGCATCCCAATGGGAGCGCAAAAGTGCCTCAACATGGCTGCTTTCACAGCTTTTTCCTTGGGACCATCCGTAACCCTAGACTGGTTTACTGGCCTAGGGCTAGGGTTAGGGTTAAGCCTTGGGTTAGGGTTTTTTAAACCAGGAAGCCCTGAGCTCCAGGAATACTGCAGCTGCAAAGGACATCCCAAGGGGAATGGAAACGCGCCACAACATGGCTGCGTCCACTGCTTTTTCCTTGGGACCATCCCTAACCCTAGGCTGACTTACCTGCCTAGGATTAGGGTTAAGCCTTGGGCTAGGATATTTTAAACCAGGAACCCCTGAGCTCTAGGAACCCTGCAGCTGCAAAAGGCATCCCAAGGGAACCACAGAAGTGTCACAACATGGCTGCCTTCCCGGTTTTCTTTTGGACCATCCCTAACCATAGGATGATTTTCCTGCCTATGGTTAGGGTTAGGGTTAAGCCTAGGGTTATGGTTTTTTAAACCAGGATGCTCTGAGCTCCAGGCAAACTGCAGCTGCGAAAGGCATCCGAAGGGGAGCGGAAAAGTGCCTCAACATGGGTGCTTTCAGAGCTTTTTCATTGGGAACATCCCGAACCCTAGGCAGATTTACCTGCCTAGGGTTAGTGTTATTGTTAGGGTTTTTTAAACCAGGAAGCCCTGAGCTCTAGGAACACTGGAGCTGCCAAAGGCATCCCAAGGGGAGAGCAAAAGTACCACAACATGGCTGCCTCCAACGTTTTTCTTTGGGATTATCCCTAAGACCAGGCTCTTTTACCTGCCTCCAGTTAGGGATAGAGTTAGGAGTTTTTAAACCAAGAATCCCTGAGCTCCAGGAACACTGCAGCTGCGAAAGGCATCCCAAGGGGAGCACAAAATGCTACAACATGGTGGCCACAAATGCTTTTTCCTTGGGACCATCCCTAACCCTAGACTGATTTACCTGCCTCAGTTCAGGGGTAGGGTTTTGCCTAGGGCTAGGGTTTTTTAAACCAGGAATCTCTGAGATCCAGGCACATGACAGCTGCAAAAGGCATCCCAAGGGGAGCACAAAAGTGCCACAATGTGGCTGCTTCCACAGCTTTGTCCTTGGGACAATTCGGCAACCTAGGCTGATTTGCTTGCTTAGGGTTAGTGTAAGGGTTTTTTAAACCACAAAGCCTGATATCCAGGCACACTGCAGCTGCAATATGCATTCCAAGGGGAGCGCTGAAGTGCCAGAAGTTCTTTGCCTCCAACCCTTCTTTCTTGGGACCATCCCTAACCCTAGGCTGGTTTACTTGTCTAGGTTTAGAGTTACGCACAGACACAATCCTCTACTTGCTCTACTCTGCTTTGGCCGACACCCTCACTGGCATGTTGGCAAAATCCTGGCCTCCTCGACCTGAGCTGGCATCTGCCACCTGTGTCCACAGGAAGGGGTTGGCAAACAATAAAGAGGCCAGACAGATTCTCATGTCTACCCCACGGCAGCACAGGCTGAAGACCACTCGTTCTGGGTTCTTCTCAATGCTACAGATGAGTTTGTCTCCTAGGAAGTCAGGGGAGGTGGGGTGTGCCCAAATGGTCAGCTCCTGGACATGGCCCCACTGAAGAAATCAAAGGAGCTCTGAGTGTGAGCAGGAGGAGCAGCCACTGGGCACTTCAACTGTGCCCACTCTACCTGCCCTTCTCCAACCTTTTTCTCCTTTGGTTTCAGGGTCATGCGGCAAGGGTGCAAAAGGAATGTCTCTGCTTGCCCTGCATTCTCAAAGGAGAATTGGACCTCTACATCCGTGGGCGAGTTGTTGATGATGGTTATAGTCTCTGAGTTGCCAGGACAGTTCTGGGCCTTGTACCTGTCCACAAAAGGAGAAAAGGCTGCAAAAGAGACTGTTGTGACTGCGGATCTTGAACGGGGCCATGACTGCATGTCCTTCAGCAGAACATCCTGGGTCATCTTGGCACCCGCCCATGATCACGGTACCAGAGTCAGACGGCCGGCGGCTGCGGAACTCGAAGGGGGCCTGGACTGCTCATCCTTCAGTACAATATCCCACGCGTTCTTGGCGCCCACCATCACAGTGCCAAAGTCAGACGTCTCCAAAGTCGGTGGGTGAGGCAGGCACAATCCTCTACTTGCTGTACTCTGCTTTGGCTGACACCCTCACTGGGATGGTGGTAAAAGGCTGGCCTGCTCGACCAGAGCTGGCATCTGCCGCCTGTGTCCACAGGAAGGGGTTGGTAAACAATAAAGAGGCCAGACAGATTCTCATGCCCACCCCATGGCAGCACAGGCTGAAGACCACTGGTTCTGGGTTTTTCCCAATGCCACAGATGAGTTAGTCTTCCATGAAGTCAGGGGAGGTGGGGTGTGCCCAAATGGTCAGCTCCTGGACATGGCCCCACTGAAGAAATCAAAGGAGCTCTGTGTATGAGCAGGAGGAGCAGCCACTGGGCACTTCAACCATGCCCGCTCTACCTGCCCTTCTCCAACCTTCTTCTCCTTTGGTTTCAGGGTCATGCGGCACTGGTGCAAAAGGAATCTCTGCTTGCCCTGCATTCTCAAAGGAGAATTGGACCTCTACATCCGTGGGAGAGTTGTTGAGGATGGTTATAGTCTCTGAGTCGCTGGGACAGTTCTTGGCCTTGTACCTGTCCACAAAAGGGGAAAAAGCTGCAGAGGAGACTGTTGCGACTGTGGAACTTGAAAGGGCCATGACTACATGTCGTTCAGCGCAATAGCACAACAGCCCAAGTCTTCTTGGCGCCCATTCGCGATCACGGCGCCGGAGTCAGACGGCCAGTGGCTGTGGAACTTTAAGGGGGCCACGACTGCTTGTCCCTCAGCACAACAGCCCAGGTCTTCTTGGCGCCTGCCCACGATCACGGTGCCAGAGTTGGACAGACGGCGGCAGCGGAACTTGAAGAGGTCTAGCACTGCTTGTCATTCAGCACAACAGCACAACAGCCCGGGTCTTCGTGGCGCCTGCCCTCGATCACGGCCCCGGAGTCGGATGACCAGCAGCTGTGGAACTTGAAGGGGGCCTGGACTGCTTGTCCCTCAGCACAACAGCCCAGGTCTTCTTGGCGCCCTCCATCACAGTGCCAAAGTTGGACGGCTCTGAAGTCAGTGGGTGAGGCAGGCACAATCCTCTACTGGCTGTACTCTGCTTCGGCCAACACCCTCACTGGCATGTTGGCAAAAGCCTGGCCTGCTTGACCTGAGCTGGCATCTGCCACCTGTGTCCACAGGAAGGGGTTGGCAAACAATAGAGGCCAGCCAGATTCCCAGCTCCACTTAAGAAGCCTCGCAAATGGTGTTGAAAGACTTTGTTTGTTTATGTAGGAGAGAGGATTCTCCAGTTAAAGCTCTCCTTCCATTAGACATCTATCTTGTTTACGCTCCCAAAACACTGTGTGATAATGCAGCCTGGCCCAGGCGGCTCACCTGGCAGTACAGGCTGGGTTTGTTCTTGAGGACCATTTCACTTGCAGGGTGGAAGAGCATCTCAACATTCTCACCAGGCTGGGAAGGAATCAGCACGCCTGACTGAGGCTCAACAGTGAAGTGGGATGCCAAGTCTTGCATCACGGGACCTGCACCCTTCTGCGTGAAACTGGGGAGAAAGGGAAGGAATGCAGATCTCTGCAGTTAAAAGTACAGGTGCCACCAACACAGCCAGGACTTTGCATAGGACCAGGAAAAAAAGGGGGAGTCCAGTTCTGCTCAGGCAATCCTGAATCTTGACAGAGAGTGCAGACATTCACAAGATTACTGCAAGAAACCTTGAGACTGAAATTTTTCATTCACTCCTTTACAGAGTCTCAGAAAAAGAAAAGAGGTGACCACCAAAAAAAGGCAATGAGTCTCAGCTTTTCAGTGGCTCAAATTTCTGGGGCTCTCCTTTGGGCTCCAGCTGAGCTGTGAAGAACTGCTGGTTTGTGGCCGAATTCTCTGGTAAAATAATTGAGATCAGAGAGCCCAAGTTTTGTATTTACCATGAGCCAGCATGGAAACAGGCTCTAGCCATTGACAGAGGGAGAATGAAGGTCTGGGAAATGCTCACTACCAGGCAGCTGGACTCACCTGTACTCAATGTTGTATATCCCTTTGTTCTGTAGACTCAGGACTTTCTTCACTTTATCCAGGACATTAATGGTTCCAAACTCCAAGTTTCCATCTGCACCTGCAGAAAACCCACAGAGTGAGGTCAAACACCGTATTTGTGAGCTGCTGCAGAATACACCAAGTCACAATCAACGTGGAGGTCTCGGCACAAAACCCTTCTCAGCAAGATCCCATTCTTGAAAGTATTTTCCAGCTACTTGTCTGCCCTTTCTCTTCTTACTCAAAATATCTGCAGGCTTAGTAGCTAAAGAGCTCGCTTTCCATTTCCTCGCTCCCAAGCACAAATCCAATTACTTTATATGCTGTGCTGAGCCTGTGGGCATTGCCAACTGCCTGTTTATGTCACTGTCGTTTCAAAGCCCCCAAATCTAATCTGCACATGAAACTGCACACTTCAAAGTTCAGAGGGGAGAGACTTAAGGCTGTCAGAGCCCTGCCAATGCTTTATTCCAGGCAGCTTGCAGAGTATGTGCTTTACGTATCCATGTCTTCCTTGTATGCTGTCCCATCCCATCCCATCCCATCCCATTGCATCCCATCAAGTGCTTTGGTTGCCCACCTCCCAAGGTAATGCAGTGCACCTGGACTGCTTTGTTTGGGAGGCATCCACTGACCTTCAGGCATGTCAATGCTCAGAGAAACATAGACCTCTGCAGAGATTTCGATGGTTTTAGCCTGAACATGCCCCAGGATGTTTTCTGTATCTGAAACCTGAGGCAGCAAGAAACAAACACTGTTCAGATTATTCTTTTGGTAGACAGCCTGAAAGTCCTTGTCTCTGCTGACTGCTTCCCCTATGACCTCCCTGGCTTCACAAGCATTGGTGGACTCCCAAGCTTTGCTAACCTGTTCCTCTCATGGGCTGCCCCAGTGGGATTCTGCTGCAGTAAAAAACCCTATCAGCCCAACTCTGCACTCCTGCAGCAGGTAATGCTGCTGCTAAAGCATCCTTGAGAGGCACAGGGGTGTAAGAACAACCACAAGAAGTGTGAGGTGTCTCAGAGCAGGTGGCATTGACAACCCTCTCCAATCACCTGGTACCCTGTCTGAAATGCAGCCCCTAAACCATGGGGAACAAAATCCCAGGGGGAGAGTTTGTTGCACTATGCAAGAGCTTTAAAGTCCAGGACGAATGTAGAGATCACGCTGCAGTCCGTACCACCAAACAACAGCCTTCAACCATTCACAGGGACAAGGTGGTTGTGGTACAGGCTCAGAATGCAGTGTCCGCTTATCTGGGGCGATGTGGATGCACTGCATGTTTTGACAAATGCTGTGTAGAGGCAGAAGTTGGGATCACAGCACCCTTGTCTCTCTCAGGTGCAGCTCTTCCTGTCCCTAGGAGCACATGGCCGCTCACTGTGCCCTGCTCTGACAGGCAGAGCACAGTCCCTCTCATCTCTACTTAGAGAATCTTCTCAATGCTGCCCCAATGTGCTCAGCCTTGAAATGCAGTGTCACTTCAAACTCTGAGTGGGGATCAAGGATGCCATTATCTTGTGACAAGGAGAAGTCCTCAACAAGGTCATCCAGCCCACTGAGCTGCCAGGCCATGGGCAGTAGGGTGTTGGTTTTCTTGACCAAGGTCTTGCTGTCAGTCCTGCAGAGACAGGAAGGCACTTGGCATCAGCTGCTGGATGAGTACACCAGCCTCACCACTGAATGGAATTCGGGGCAGCTCCATCTATGCCCCGGAAACCAGAGTCAAACGTTTTCTCTTTGTCACCAGTCTTGGAGTGCTTGTGGGATGACTGACCTGTGAAGAAGCAGCTTGTCAGAAAACAGTTGCAGGGAGCTGACCTCCAGCTTCATGTCTACCTCATGGCAGCACAGGCTGAAGACCACTCGTTCTGGGTTCTTCTCAATGCTACAGATGAGTTTGTCTCCTAGGAAGTCAGGGGAGGTGGGGTGTGCCCAAATGGTCAGCTCCTGGACATGGCCCCACTGAAGAAATCAAAGGAGCTCTGAGTGTGAGCAGGAGGAGCAGCCACTGGGCACTTCAACTGTGCCCACTCTACCTGCCCTTCTCCAACCTTTTTCTCCTTTGGTTTCAGGGTCATGCGGCGAGGGTGCAAAAGGAATGTCTCTGCTTGCCCTGCATTCTCAAAGGAGAATTGGACCTCTGCATCCGTGGGGGAGCTGTTGAGGATGGTTACAGTCTCTGACTTGCCGGGACAGTTCTGGGCCTTGTACCTGTCCACAAAAGGAGAAAAGGCTGCAAAAGAGACTGTTGTGACTGCGGATCTTGAACGGGGCCATGACTGCATGTCCTTCAGCAGAACATCCTGGGTCATCTTGGCACCCGCCCACGATCACGGCGTTGGAGTCGGATGGCCAGTGGTTGTGGAAGTCGAAGGGGGCCACGAGTGCTTGTCATTCAGCACAACAGCCCAGGTCTTCTTGGTGTCCACTCACGATCACGGCGCCAGAGTCGGACGGCTGGCGGCAGCAGCACTTGAAGGGAGCCAGGACTGCTTGTTGTTCAGTACAACAGCCCGGGTCTTCTTGGCGCCCACTCGTGATCACGGCGCCAAAATCGGAAGGCCGACGACTGCGGAACTTGAAGGAAGGCAGGACATGCTTTTCCTTCTGCAGAATAGCACAACAGCCCGGGTCTTCTTGGCGCCCACCCACGATCACGGTGCCGGAGTACGACGGCTGACGGTGCGGAACTCTAAGGGGCCTGGTCTGCTTGTCCTTCAGCACAACAGCCCGGCTCTTTGTGTCGCCCACCCATGATCATGGCCCTGGAGTCAGACGTCTGGCAGCTGTGGAACTTGAAGGGGGCCAGGACTGCTTGTCCTTCGGCACAACAGCGCGGGTCTTCGTTGCGCCCACATGCGATCACCACTCCAGGGTCCGACAGTCGGCGGTTTCAGCACTTGAAGGGGGCCAGGTCTGCTTGTCCTTTGGCACAACAGCCTGGGTCATCTTGGCGCCTGTCCATGATCATGGCGCCAGAGTCGGATGGCCAGCGGCTGAGCAATTTCAAGAGGGCCAAGACTGCTGGTCGTTCAGCACATCTGCCTGGTTCTTCGTGTCACCCACCCACGATAATGGTTGAGTACTGGTCAGTACTGCTCAATGTGGGTCTCTACTGGTCAGTGTGGGTAAGTGTGGGTCAGTGCGGGTCAGTGTGGGTCTGTACTGTTCAGTGTGGGTCAGTGTGGGTGACTGTGGTTCAGTGTGGGTCAGTACTGGTCAGTGTGGGTAAGTGTGGGTCAGTACTGGTCAGTGTGGGTCAGGGCCCTAGCACCCCGAGGTGTGTCCCCATGACCCATGCATGTCCACAGGACCCCCAGGTGTGTCCCCAGGTGTGTCTGTCCCTGTCCCCAGATGCTCTCACCTGAGAGGATGATCACGTGCTCGCTGGAGTTCTCAAGGGAGCTGCAGCTCTGCTGGCAGCGCCCACACAGGTACAGGGGGGGCGTGCCCAGCTCAGGGGGCTCTGTGGGGCACTGGGGGGGCCGTGAGACCCCCGTCCCCCCAGTCCTGCCCATCAGGGCAGCACCACCGCCAGGGGGGCCCCCAAACTCAACCCCGTCCCCCCGGGCGCCTCCCAGGGCGGCTCCAAAACACAGCAGGGACAGCGGGGCCACGGCGCCTTCCTTGGGGCTCCTTCATCCTCTGCTTCCCCCACATCCTCCTCCAGGTGCTTCTCCTTGAGCAGGCCGAGCACCCGGGGCAGTGGCTGGCACTGCTCGCGGCTGTGCCCGCTGCTGGGGCTGTCCGTGGGCACCTCCATGGTCAGTTCTCTGGTCATCTCTGTGTTCAGTAGTGCAGTCAGTTCTGTGGTCATCTCCATGGTCAGTGGTGTGGACAATGGTGGGGACAGTTCAGTAGTCAGGGATGGGGTCAGTGGCGTGGTCAGTGGTGCGGACAGCTCGGTGGTCTGTACTTTGCTCAGCTCTTTGTTCAGTGGTGCGGACAGTGGTGTGGCCAGCTCGGTGGTCAGTTCTGTGGTCAGTTCTGCGGTCAGTTCCGTGGCCAGCCCAGTGGCCATCTCCGTGGCCAGCTCAGTGCTCAGGGACTCTGTCACCGGCCGCGCCTGCGGGATAATTTGCACGTGCTGCCGAAGGCGGCCTCGATCCGCAGCACGGAGGCGGCCGCGGGGATGGGCAGCACCTCGGGGCACGCCACCGCCGCTGGGCTGCCGCTGCAGAGAGAGGAGCGCCCGGAGCCGGTGCACGGACAGATTCTCACACTGCCCAGGGCACCACGGGCGCACGGACAGACTCTCACACCGCCCAAGGCAGCACGGACAGACTCTCACACCACCCAAGGCAGCACTGACAGACTCTAACACCGCCCAGGGCATCACGGACAGACACTCACACCACCCAGGGCAGCACCGACAGACTCTCACACCGCCCAGGGCACCCCAGGCTCCTGCGGCACCCCGATCTGTGGCTGAGGGGCCCGGGCTGAGCTGCCGTGGCAGGACGCGCTGCCAGCGCACCGCACGCACACAGGAGCTTCACGCGCTCGCCCACCCCGTGCCTGCACCGGCGCATGTGCAGCACTTTGGGGATGCAACCCCGCACCCTCCCAGTGACGTCACCACCCCAACACCAGCCAGGCCTCAGCCCCGCCCCCTCATTTGAATGCCACATTTACATATTTACAGCCTCACCCCCTCCCGGAAAGGGGTCACCTGCAGAAATGGGGGGGGAAGGGGCATAATTGGGGGGTCCCAGAGGGGAGAGGTCCCTCCCCATTTTTGGGGTCCTAAATTCATTTTTTGGGGGTCCTTCCCCATTTCTGGGGTCCCCTCCTGTATTTTAGGGTATTCTCCCCATTTTTAGGATCCCAAATTCTCCTTCTGGGGTCCCCTCCTCATTTTTGGTGTCCCCCCTCCCAATTTCTGGGGTTTTCTCTCCATTTTTGGGATCCCCCTCCTAACTTTTTGGGTCCGAAATTTTCTTTTTAGGATCCTCTCCTCATTTTTCGGGTCCCCTCTACTCATTTTGGAATCCCTTCCTTCTTTGGGGTCTCAAATTCGCTTTTCGGGGTCCCCTCCCTTTTTTGGGATCCCCTCCCTTTTTTGGGGGTTCTTTTCTTATTTTTGGGTCCCCTCCCCAATTTTTGGTCCCCTCCTTTTTTTGAGGTCCTCTTCCAATTTTTGGGGTTCTTTCCCCATTTTTAGGGTTCCTCCTCCTCAATTCTGGGCTCTCCCCTTTCAATTTCTGGGATCCCAAATTCTATTTTTGGGGTCCCATCCCCATTTTCGGGGTCCCAAATTCTCTTTTTAGGATCCTCTCCTCATTTTCAGAATTCTCCCTCCTCATTTTTAGGGTCCCCTCTTCCCTTTTTTGTAATTCCCCACTTTTCCTGGGGGTCTCATCTATTTTTGGGAACCCCCCATTTTTAGGACCTCTCCCCTTTTTCAAGGATTTTCCCCCATTTTCAGACCCCCTCCCTGTTTGGGGACCCCCTTTCTGGAACCCCTTTTTTGGAACCCCCTTTTTTGGGGTGTCTCCCCCTTTTTTTTGAGCGCCCCTGCTCTTTTAGGACTTGCCCTTTTTTAAGGGTCACCCCCTTTTTGGGGAACTCCTTTGTTTAGAACCCCCCTTTTTTAGGGATCCTCCTTTATTTGACATTCCCATCTTTGGGACCCCCCTTTCTTTCGGGACCGCCTTTTTTGGGATCCGCCTTTTTCAGGAACTCCCTTTTTTTGAGACCCTCCCTCTTTTTCAGGGCTTTCCCCCCTTTTTTAGCACCCCCTTTCTTTAAGGCCCCCATTTCTGGGACCCCTCCCTTTTTTTAAAGGTCCCCCCCTTTTTTGGGTCCCCCATTTCTTTAGGGACCCCCATTTCTGGGACCCCTCTTTTTCAAACGCTTTTTTTTCAGGACCCCCTTTCTTTTAGGACCCCTCTGTTTTCAAGACACCCCTTTTTTAGGGGTCTCTCTCTACTTTTGGGACTTCTGCCTTTTTTGGGACCCCCCTTTCCTTCAGACCCCCATTTTTAGCACCCCTCTTTTCCAAAGCCCCATTTTTAATCTCCCCTTTCTTTCACAACCCCCTTTCTTCCAAACTCCAAATTTTTACAATTTTACATTTTTTACTCCCCTCCATTTTTAGGTCCCCTATTTCTTTTAGGACCCCCATTTCTTTTGGGACCCCCATTTATTTTAGTATCCCCCTTTCTTTTAGGGCCCCCATTTCTTTTAGGACCCCCATCTCTTTTGGGACTTCCCCCCATTTTTTGGGACCCCCCTTTTTTGGGACCCTCTTTTTTTGAGATCCCCATTTTTGGGACTCCTCTTTTTCAAGCCCCCATTTTCAGAACTCCGTTATTCTTTTGGGACCCCCCTTTTTCTGACATCTCCTTTCTTTTAGGATCCTCCTTTTTGAGGTGTCTCTCCCCTTTTTTGCAACCCCTCTTTTTCCAGCCTCCTTTTTTCAGGACCCCTATTTTTAGGCCTCTCCTTTCTTCCATACCCCAAATTTTTACAATTTTACATTTCTCACTCTCCCATTTTTAGGCCCTCCCTTTCTTTCAGACCCGTCTTCTTTTTGGGACCCCTCTTTCTTTAGGGACCCCCATTTTTGGGACCCCTCTTTCTTTATGGACCCTCATTTTTGGGAACCCCTCTTTCTTTTAGGACTCCCCATTTTCCTTTAAGACCCCCATTTTTGGGACCCCTCTTATTCAAATCCCCATTTTTAGGACCCCTATTTTTGGGAACCCCCTTTCTTTTAGGATCCCCATTTTTGGGACCCCCATTTTGATGTCTCTCCCCCCATTTTTGGGACTCCTCCTTTTCAAGCCCCCTTTTTTAGGACCCCCTTCCTTTTAGGACCCCCTTTTTCAAGACGCCCCATTTTTAGGGGTCTCTCCCTATTTTTGGGACTCCCCACCTTTTTTTGGGACCCCCCTTTCTTGCAGACTCCCATTTTCAGGACCCCTCTTTTCCAAACCCCCGTTTTTATCCCCCCCCTTCTTTCACACCCCCTTTCTTTAAACCCCCAATTTTTACAATTTTACATTTTTACCTCCCTATTTTTCACCACCCCATTTCGTTACCGCCACAAATTTTTACCCCATTGTAAGACCCCCCTCTTTCTTCCAGACCCCAACTTTCACAATTTTACATTTTTATCTCCTCTTTCCCACCCCTGTCCTTTCACAACTCCCCTTCTTCAGCACCCCAAATTTTTCCGATTTTACATTTTCACGTCCCCCCTTTACCACCCAAATTTTTACCATTTTATATTTTTACCCCGCCCTTCACCACCCAAAATTTTACAGTTTTACATTTTTACCCCCCCTTTACCACCGAAATTTTGACAATTTTACACCCCTCCATTTTTTCCCCCGCCCCCTCCCCCGTAT